AAGAAAACAATTTGAGAACAGAGATCCAAAAAGCTACTAGTATGCCTTGATATACATTAAAAGGATTAGTGGCTCTAATCATTTCCAGTGAATCTATATGCATAGATATACTATAATACTTTAATCTTCATAGATTGTAACATATTTTCTTGTCATTTCTAATCATTGACATGTAGAACACAGTGTGTACCCTTATACTAAATGAAAACTATACAGTCATTCCAAGGATATTGTTGGGTATCTAAGTAGTTGCATGCAGTTTTTTTCTTGAAAAGAACTGCATGCAACTACTTAGATACCCAACAATATCCTTGGAATGATTGTATAGTTTTCATTTAGTATAAGATGAAAACTATAAGGAGATTATTGGTATGCGTAAGAGAGCAAGCGAAAATGTTATAGCATTCCTGATAAAACTAGAGGAGCCATCTGAGTAATATTTGGTTAGCGAGTTTGACTGGTTCAAATATGTTATTTAAGAAGGAATACCAAACCTCAAAACATGAGCTAAAATCAGATCCAATAAAGCGGAAAACTTCTTGATGACATTGTATCTGGATGCTGGTTGCATCAAGCGAAATCGATTTTGGGTTTAGAAAAGCCTATTTGATGTCATCTTTCTCTTTAGAGTCTGTGACTGATGGTCTCATATGAACAGGTGGTACTTCCGTTGAACCAGCTGAAGGCAGTGAACCCATCAACAAGCAGAGTTAACACATCTGAGAAATACATACAAGTGATTTCCGTCGACAATCACGAGTTCTGGTTTATGGGGTTTGTGACTTATGATAGTGCTGTGAAGAGCCTTCAAGAAGCAGTTCAGTCACATGGTCCATGAATGTCCAGTTCGTAAATGCAGCTCTTAGTGGTATTTGTGCATTATAAGGAACAGTGTGTTTTAGTATCTTGATACCGTTTCAATTCGTGTTGTAGATTTTGTGCTCTGCGTTTACTCATAAACATTGCTTTTGCTCGTTTGCTTTTGTATGATTAAATTCTTATTTGTTACAAAATAATTCCATCGAATCGTATCATCCAAGAGATATTTGTTCCCACCGTGATCTTTGATGGCTCTTAATATTCTTTGGGCAGTGGCTCATTACTCTGAAATTTCTCAACTTATTACAATACAAACACAAAGGAGCTTCTAAATGTTACATCTCCAGGTTCCAAGTTTGGTTACATAGGCACCAAATTTCTAACCTTTCACTATACAAAGTCAGATTGGAGGTAATCAAATTAAAACATGAAGTTTTGGGTTTTGGGTTTTAGCTATTCACATGAAGTTAGCTCAAGGTTTCTAGAGATCAACGAGGCTTTATCATAGTCCTTGAGACCATTACTTTCTTACCCTTTTTGTACACGGGTACACTTTTGTAAATAATAAACTACGGGGTAAAATGTATAAAGAAGTATAAAGCTCGAGGACTTTTATGTTATTTATTGACAGTTTCCAGAGACGAGTTTAGGGCTTTTATAAAAGCCGCCGCTTCTATGGCAGCAACCATATACCATCACTTACGGTTTCTGAGAAATTGGGA